CCTACAGGGAGAAATGGCTTGTTGTATTCCTAAAAGAGCTTATATCATATTAAAATAAGAGCAGCAAAATCAGCAGTGATCTTCAGAAAGCAGTAACTAGGGATATTGTCTGCCAGCTTTTAGCTGATGTCTAGTCATGCTGGAACCAGTAACAGCCGGAGGAGGTAGTCTGCACAGTTGTGACTGCTGACAAATAATGAAGTAAAATGAATGTGAGGAAACACAGTTATCCAGGGATTCTAGCAGGATTTTAGTTATGTTTTAGATATGCTTTTTTCTTCTACATTTTTTTTCAGAAAAGAGCAAAGCAAAACTACTGAGATAAACTCTGCTTCCACTTCCATCCCTAAGAATCCTGAAGTAAGAATCCTTACTTCAGCAGAATTACTATTGATTCACCTTGATGCAGCTGAGCATAGGATTTGTCCTGTTGCCTGGGGTTGTCTCTCCTGATTTTTTAAATGAAGTGCTTTCTGTACGCGGGGAACAGCTATATACTTCTAGTCTGGGTGATTTGAATTTTAGATTAAGGAAAAGAAGGCCCAAAGGTAAAGCCCTTTAGAGAGCACATGGTGCTTGTGGCTGTTCATGTGTGTGTCTTCTCTAACGCAGTCCAACTGCTCATCTTACAAAATCACTGCCACCCCCATTTGACTTTCTTACCACCCTGTCTGCTGCAGGAAAATAGATGCCTTCAAAATATAAATAAAGGCAGAGTACAGAGAAAATAAAGGGCTGGCAATTATGTAGCAACATGTGTCACACATGCAGACAGGCTCTAGTCCTTCGCAGGAGGGGACATATTTGTGAAAGTGTTAGACCTGGAAAATGTTCCAGAGGTCCCTTCAGAGGCAGGGGATAGGTTTGGCCAGTGGAAGGGGGTTGATGGTAGAAGCTGACAAAACCTTAGGACCTGTCCCTCTTGTGTTGCATCTTCCATCAGTGATGAGTGGGATGGGAGCAGCTAGTAGGCTACAGCAGACCTGCTAAAAGGTTAGAACATCAGTGCCAGAAGGTTAGGATTTCACAGTCTCCAGTGCACTGTGAAGCTGCTGGCTGTATGGTATGCTCTGGACCATAAGGATGATGCATACAACAAGAAACTGCTGAGAGGAGCCTGTGGAGAGATGCAATGTGGAATAGAAATGTCAAGGTGACACATTCAGTAAACGTGCATGTAATCTCTGCTTTATTTTATACATATAATTTATCTATAAACTATTGCTTTATGTAGTCATAATTATTTACCCAGTGTCTTAGAGACATCGTGGCAGAAGTCCATCTCCGGAAGGACCGTGAGTGAGGAAAGTGTAATGTAGCTTAGGAGGGTAGCAATTTCAGGGGACAACTCAGCAGAAGATAAATTCTTGAGGAACTTCAAAAATCATGTTTGGTACAGTAGCCTTAAATGAAGAAGGGGAGAAGTAAAACAGACATTGAATGCTGTGTTCACTTCATTATTTATAAAATGGTTCTCAGTTTGCTGTGGTGCCAGCACCTCATGTCACTTGGAGGTTTCAAGGAGGTTAGTCAAGGCCAGCAGCTGACCTTTGCATAGAAGGTGGCTGAAGCAGCCCGGTGAATACTGATGCAGAGAAGAAAAAATACTGACTGTCTCCTAAAATTCTCTTGAGCTCTTTTGGAGCATGCATCTTCTACAGTCTTGTGTGGCTGTGTATTTAGCTTTCCTTTTGCTTTATGGTTAGGTGGGTGGGGTTTTTTTATTCGTTTATTTTGTCTTTTCTAACTACAGAATATTACAGATAGTGGCTCAGAAGTAAGTCTATGTCACAGAATTGCTGATCTAGTTAATATCTGTGTTTGTAACATGAAAAGAAAATCTACTAACTGAGTGTTTGGTAAAGGGAATGAAAGAGGTCACATCCGTCATGAGTAAGTGTTAAATTTTAACGGCAATACCAGTCTTTCAAATTTAGGAGGAAGGAAAGTCTTTGTAAAAGCTACTTTTAATGAAGTGTTGTAATGCAGGAAACTGTGGAAATGAAGAGATCTTGAAAATAAACCCTGGATTTGCCTCCAGTATCCGCAGTCACTGTTTCTTACTGTGGGATTTTTTTTTCCTGTTTTGCTTTAGGTTTTTTTTCCCCCTGAACAGAAATGTGTAAACTAGTTGTTGCTTTTTTCATGGAGTCTGGTACTCTAGAGATATAAAGCATTATGAATAAGCTATATCTCAAAGTCTGTATGTGGAGTTTGGCTTCAGTAGCCCTGCTTTCAGAGAATTGTGCTATATTGTGTTTTATCCCGCTAATTGGAACAGAGCCATTTTCATGGCAAGCTACTACTCAAGCCAAATAAGAGTATCAAAGTCTAGTACAAAGTCGTGCTTCTGCAGAACTTTTCTTACAGAGTCACTGGGGGTTCTGCTCGAGGAAGGACTGAACAGAGCTGGAGTAGGGCTTCAGTCAGGCCTTGGGTTATTTACACACATATTTTTGCATTTCTCGGTTGCAACAAAATATTATGCTACTTTGAGAAGGGCTGCATTTCCTTGCTCTGGGAGGGGCTGGCAGTCTGCTTAGGATGGAGAGGGTACCGGTTTGCTTGTATCCCTCCTTTTTCCAGCAAAGTGGAGGCCCATGGGCTATTTATAGTCCTCCTCTTCCAGGATCTTATCTCTGTCCCAGTTTACCCTCTTATCCATGAGTTATCACTGGCCATTAAAATCGGATTTTTCCTTCAAGTCTGGGGAAAAGGAATGATAAACGACACTATCTCCTTTTCCTCAAAGGGAAGAGCAGAAAAGTTTTCTCCTGCAGGGGAGATTAACAAAATTTCCCACCATCCTTTTCCCCACCTGCAAATTTTTGTCACTGCCCCATTAAGCCTGTAGGGCTCAAAGGTATGCGGCTTTCTCTCTGCTGAGCACTTCTTAATCCCTTCTTCCTCTGTGGTGGTGGAGAATCTGTTCCACTAGGCAAGACGTAGCTCTTCATCTTACCCACTTACGCTACACCCACACCAAGGTGGGCTCTTCTCAGAGCTGTCACTGTGCTAGTTTGCAAGAGGAGATTGATGCTTTGAAGGTGATTGAAAAGAAGTATGAGAGGTTCCCTGGGAGGTTGATTGTAAGACAGCACTTTGAAAAGCCAAATGGAGTCAGTAATCATATTACCGGTTGGTCAACAAGCATTCTTTGAGTCCTACTGTCTAAGAAAAAGTAATCACTTGCTCTTTGCTAGTTGCTATGCAGATTAAAAAAAAAAAATTACATAGTTGCCAGCAAAAGATTCACTAACAAAGTGTTGCCAGATCACTTACTTCATCTGTGAAGAAAATGGCAAAACTGTGCCCGCAAAAGTTTCATGTGAAGTAGATCTCTGTTCAGTGAAAACTCCCTTGGTTTTTGGGTAGTGTAAGATAAAAAAGGTTGATTATTTTCAAATGATACCAGAGTTGATGCATCTGCTGGGAGCAGCAACCCATTTACCCAATGTTACAGAGAAAAGGCTTATTAATGTCTTGCAGTACAGTAATGTGAATGTATATGAGACTGTTGCTTTCTGGTATATGTTTAGCACAGTCTAAAATTTACCATTTTAAGAAGAGAGAAATATTTCTAGTTACAATGCTAAATTTTAAGTAGCTGAAGCACAGTCCAGTTTTCTTTATGACCTCTCCAGCTCTAGGATTGTTTGTTTTCTTCTCGAGCTAGTAACGGTAGTCATGACAGGAAACGCGTTGCGGTCGGAAGGGTAAGGAGGATAGTATTAGGGGAAAAAAATGACATTCAAAAAGACAGATGTTTAAGATATGAGGGACTTGGGAAAAGGAAGACGTCTAAGTATTTGATATCAGGAAACTTGAAGAGGCTATATGTGGATATGAGATAGCCATCCATTCTCTGTTGTTTTTCATCCTTGATTTCTTTGTTGAAACAGCTAACAAGGCCAGTGCCAATTTTATGGCATAGATAACTAGCAGATGTCCTGTTTTCCTATATGACACACGTTCAGCCTATCTGCATCAGATTTGAATCTGTGGAGTACACCTGCTATGCCTTCATAAACCTTGACACTAGCGTACTGTACCCTTTCTTGCTGAGGGCTTGAAGGTGCGTTCTAGTTAATTGTGATTAACGTGTATTGAACAGTGAAGGGAATTTCAGGTACTCTTTAAATCACTATTAATAAAAGTGGATGATTAACCTGAATATACTTTGAGCATGTATTTTTCAAGCTAAAGGCCTTGAATCTGGTCATTATTTGGATAGGAAACTGGATGGTAGGAGGAGGAGGAACAATTGTGGCTGATATAACAGGCTTTGCCTGCTCTTCCCTTTCTGTCAGTGACTGGAAGAACATGTGGGGAAAACGCTGTAGGCGGCTGCTTAGTGGAGAGGCATTGCTTGGGGTGAGATGTAGAAAAGAGATTGCAGCTACTTCTGTTCTTCACAAGTCTGGTGTGCTTTCCATTTAGTTTAGGAGCATTTAGCTTCCCTCAAGTGGCCAAATCAAAGCTGGACAATTAGATTTTTGCTCTCTTCAAATTCTGTCATTCTTCTAACTGAGTTCTCCTTGCGGGAACACATGGTTATTTGTTTTGGGGTGGAGGCTGTCTGTTTGGTTCTGATTTTCTGCTTGTGACACAGTTGTTTGGACATAGCCTGCCTGTAGCTGCCTTTCAGATGGCAGTTAGCAAGTGATTGCTGATCAGTAGAGTTGTTGCCTAAATAATTATTTTTCCTAGTCTCCTTGGTTTTATAGTTTGATTTTGCAGTTGTCCACTGTGATGTTTAGAGGAAGCAAATGAGTCACTGCGCTCAGGTGGTTGCTGTGAAGAAGAATGCAAAAGATGATAGTATTTGCATTGAAGCAGGGCCAATGAAACGTGTCCTGACACAACTCAAAAATGATGCTTCTGTGTATTCTTGAGTGCCATCTACTGGCACAAATACCCACTAGAGATTTACAGGCCAAGAGGATTCTCCTAGTAGACAGTATTTTACAAGTAGTTGTTTCTTGTTTCTTTCACTTCAGGAGCAAGGCAAGATTGGTGTAGTCTTCAATATCGGCACAGTGGACATCTCTATTAAAGAGGAAAGCACGCCTGTAAATGATGGCAAATACCACGTGGTGCGCTTTACCAGGAATGGTGGCAATGCCACACTTCAGGTCGACAGCTGGCCAGTGAATGAACATTACCCAACAGGTATGTGCTTTTTTCTCTCTATCTGTCCATACCATCAAAATAAGGTTTGACAACAACTAATCCATAAAACACTGGCTACTATATAAGTCTTTGTTGCTTCATCTCAACAGTAAATTGACCTGCCTAGTGGTGCATCTTCTGTCTGTTGAAAAACACAGTAATGGATCCAGTGTCTCCTTTATATAGGAAAGAGAGAGCATGCAGACTGTGTGATATGATGCACATAAATCCTACTATGTCAGAGGTGTCTAAGTGAATCCTACTTCTGCAGAGAGTCAAAGACTTACACAGTAACAAACTTAGTTTTGCTACTTGTGATATGATCTAACTACTTAGGTGAGCAAAGTTTTTAACAGATCTTTTGAAAAGGAAAGTGGCCCTAGCCGTACTCAAGATGCAGACGGTATACATACAGACTTGGAAGTATGAGGAATGCAGCAGCTTAGGTTGCAATTATTTGAATGGATCTCACGTTTGCCTCAACATTTTTCATGTCCTGAATTTCATTCTCTCTTTTAGGTTTGCAGGTACAAAGTTTGACACAAAATCCAGCGAAAAGCCATCAACTGTTAGTTGACTGTAGGTCAAAACGCAGTGGAGCAATTCAGTTTCTCTTTGGAAATCATAACCCAAAGTCCTCCAGGAATAGTGAACAAATGGCTCTTGTATCACTGCCCCATGTGTTATCCCACCACCCTCAAATCACAACCACATGGCCCCAATATGTCACTATTTTAGAAAGTCAAGCTCATTCCAAGTGAAAAAGAGATTGCTGTATGTGATACTAACAGTGCATACGGTAGCTGAGGCTGGGTGATGTGGATGGTTACTAAAGGCAGGAGGAGGAGGAGGAGGAGAGGAATCCAAAGATAACCAAATTCTTCATCTTCACATTTTTTTGCCAAGATCAAACTATGATCTTCTTGTTGGTCCCCAATGTTAAGTCTGCGCAACTGCCAGTTATTCCTTCCTAGGTTACACCTAACTGACCTGGGATAGAGGAAGGAAGAGTTCTCTGATAAACATGAGGCAATTTGCTAGTTTTGGAGGAGTTGCCCATGGGCTGCTTACCCTCAGATTTTGAGAAATATCCACTGTTACACCAAATTGTTTTCCTCAGACACTAATAAATCACTCCTAGGGGATAATTTCATCTCTTCCACCCACTCAGAAAGTGCCCAGGAAAGTTCTTCATGGCAGCAGTCTGTCCTGTGGTGCTCTCTACCTCATATATGGTATGGCGCTCTGTGAGTGTTTTGGTGCTGTATGTGCAAAAGAGTACCTTTTAGTAATTATCATTATTTCTATGAAATAATTACTTTCTAAGAAAGCAATGGAAGACAAGCTGAAATAGATTTAGCTCTGCTATCCATTGGCTAAAGAGGGTAGGATGACTAGGGGAGGTCCAAAATGAGCATCTTTATTCTGCTCCTTGCATCAACTATTTTGTGGTAAAATACTTTTGATCCAGTTGGCAGCCAATTATAGTCAGCAAAAACTCCATGAATAAATTTCCTTCTTGTATTACTTATTACAGTAAGTCCCTGGCGTAAAGAAACAAAATATTCAGCTTGTTTCTTTAGAGTTTCTTTTAAAAGGGAAAATAAATCTCACTCGCAGTACCCTCTGCTTCTGTCTTGGCTAAAGATATTCCTGTGTTTTCAGTAGAAAATGTATGGTTTTAAAGAATCAGCATTAATCTTACATTCTGGGCTGGTACTGAGAATATGCTGTTGTACCCCAACGGAAAAGGACATGTTTATATTCTAGACACCTTTTCCTTTCCGTACATGTATTTCAGTTTCTGGCTATTTGTAGATGATGTGGTTTCAGCCTGTCTCTATAAAAATAAGGCTAATGGGATCACACTTTGCATGCACTTGTATCTCCCTAATTCTTTCCAGTCTCTTTCCAGCTCACTGGCAGTTTTTAGCCAAATTTGACAGAGAAACTTTGGGAGAAGCTTCAATGAGAAAAGCCGATAACTACAGAAAAATGAGCCTTTTTAGTTCTATTGCCTGGGGAACCAGTGATTTAAAAGAAGACCAAACAGGAGCTTTTGAAGTGAATAATTTCATTGTCTTTCACTGTATGCCACAGACCAAGTATGCACTAGTGTTTCTTGTACAAGGGTACAAGGCCAAGCAGAGTTTCAGCTTTGGAACAAGCCTCGTGGTTGGGTTTTATGGGGTATAATTGACCCAGAACAATCTAGCAGGTTTCAGATGGAGATTGCTAAAACAGCAGTTCATATCAAAATTCTGTAAAAATAGCCAAGGAATCCTGTATTTTACCTGTAGCATCACTTAATTTCAGGAAAAGACAGTTGCTTGTAATGTTTAAAAACAGCATATCAGCGTATTCGTAGCACACGTTCATGCATGATATATTGTCTGTAATACAAACAGTTTCACATGTACCTAATTTCCTGCGCGGTACTGTATCCTAGCGTTTACAATTTTGACAAAATAGCCAAAGTATGATGTTCATCATCATATATGATGCAATCTTCAGGCAGCAGGGCTGCATTCTGAATGGCATTTCTAGGCTCTCTCTGAGTTTTATTAGCTTTTGAAGGATTATACATCGGACTCATAGATTACTTGCACAATTTAAAGTACAAATAAAACTGCAACGTTCATTAAATGAGCAAAGAAAAAGAATATTGGCTTTCCTTAAAGCAAAGCCTTCAGTCTAGTTGAAATTAAGTGAAACAAGCCTGATGGGATTGAAAGACTCCAAAGCTGTATTTTTGCAACTTCGTATAAAAGACAAGGAAGTGGAAGGAAAGCAGAAAAGCAACAAGCCTACAGTTCAAGCACTGACATTTTGTTTTTTATAACATCCGATTACATCTCAGTCACTTGCAACATGAGCTTTATGCTCTCTTATGAGGAAAAGGGTTAGAGGTAAATTGTAAAGGAGGGAATTAACTTGAAGCTAAGGTTGGCTGAGCTTTGGGACAGAAATAATCCCAATCATTACAGATGATCTCTCACTGTTGTACCATTCCAACCCTGCTAAAGTTTCTTACTAGACAATAGGACTCCAAACAGCGGCCCGGTGCAGAGATTTGAGACAAAGCTCCTGAGAAATGGGAAACAGCAAATAGCAGTATGAGTGCACTGAGGCAGCTATCAGCCAAGCAGCTGTCATAACTCAGTTCAGCCAAAATCATTGAGCCATCTATAATCAGTATTGCATTAGTTTTGCCCTTTTCTCCTCTCTTTCAAGTGCGCAAGGAGCTAGACTTTACCCATAGAATCTCTTGATAGCCAGTTGCTTGATGCTTAATTCATGAAGTAGATCATCATAGTTTATTTCTCAGGGTATATACCTTTTGATAACAAAAACATGAATTTCTGTCCCTAAAGTGCAGTTTTCCATGACTGCCTCCCTTCTGCGCTCTCATGTGTCTGCACCTTTTGGTGTACACCCCCGATAGCAAGTTGTACTTGGTCACTGTTACTTTTTTGTTTTTTTTTTCTGTTGTTGCTGAGCGACTTCTCTAAATGAATCCTTCTAGTGATGAAGTAGGAGTTATTTTAGACCAAGGGTGGGTAAGATAGAAAAATGAGTTCAGGTAGAGGAAACCTCTTGACATGCTTTTGTTTCAGATTACAGTAAAAACCATCAGATTTGAGGTACTTTACAGTACGATCAGAAGGACTTAAATTAGGAATCCTGAAGTTTGAGAGGGAGCCAGCAGTTTGCAGAAGAGTTAAAAATAAACCTCCTGTATTGACATAGAACTGAGATTCCTTGGTCTCTAGGTTTTTATTACTTCTTAGATAGGAAGTTTCTTTCTCTCTCCACTGCCTTTACTTGCAAAGAGATGCTTTATGTCTTGCCAGACTTGTAGCGTACACTGAAACAAGCCTGATCTACCTGTTCATTCATCCGTACACTGACTTCATTTTCTGCAGCAGAAAGAGAAGGAAAGGTAGGTGAAGAGGAGCTGCAAAGCAAGAGGGTGTCAATAACACCAAAATAGAGTCTAATTGGAGTAATATTTTAAAGGAAAAGATTGAAGGAAAGGAGGTAAAGAGGGCAGGAAGAGGCTGTCACTTAAAGAAACTCAGATTTGAGCAAGAAAACTATAGCCTGGATTTTGTAAATACATTTTAAAAATAAGATATAGGACAGCATTAAACAACAAGATCATTATCAGACTTCATTAGTTTATCCACCCAATACGGATTTTATATTTTTCCCCTTTATCTTTCTCGAGTGATCTTTCAGCCTTATTGTAGGAATCTATGACCTCTCAAATGACATTAATTTGCAGCTCTATTGTCAGTGAATAAAAGAAAAAAGATTTTGTCCTCTGTTCCCCTCCTCATCCTCCTCTCAATTACACATCTGTGATGAAGTTGGATTTTAGGACACTGGACAGTTGGCTGTTTACAGTAGAACTCCAGGGGCTTTGTGACTGCTTGAGAAAGTACTGTGGCCCAGTAAGAACCTATCTATAAAACAAAAAGTTGGTTCTGAAGCCCTGAGGGCTCTAGGGTTTTTCTTCACACTAGTTCCTGTCTAGTCCCAAGGACTGGATGTTCTTGAACAGTTGGAGCACATCTAGTTTAGTTTTATTGGAAAGGAATCCAGTTTGTATATTCCCTGGGAGCGTTTTAGTATGTGAACTAAAGTGTAGCAGGCAGAGAGAGCTGGGAGAGTTCAGAAGCATACCCCTGATTCAAACAAAATGCTGATGTAGTGCATCTTAACATAGATTACAACTCAAGCTGAACAGAGAAGCTCATTCTTTCATTACTCCTTATCGTACTCATGTTGTTTAAATAGTCAGCATTCCATCTGGTTTTTACCCTCTCGTTTTCTATTCAGCTGTATCACTTCACCAGTATCATTCACCAGGTAAGTGGTGCAGGAGAAAAAGCCACATGGGAGTGGAAATGATCAGTCAGAAGACAAGGAGAGATAAGATGACTTCTTTTATCAGCAGGGCTGGTTTATGTCAGTTTATAGTAAACTACATCTTT